TTGTTCTTGTTTACAGACGGGTGATTTTTTTTTATTGCTTTTCTTATTACATTTTTTTTTTTTTAAGTATTTGTTTTGATTCCATTTAAATGTTATTGCCCTTATATGTTCTTTGTTCTAAAAACTGCAATTAAAAAATTAAAAAATTAAAAAACATCTCGGTTACGTATGTAACCTTGGTTCCCTGAATAGGGGAACGAGATGCTGCGATGACGTCATCGCTTTGGGAACATCTTCGGTGTGACGAATGTCTGAAGCCCTTATACCATCACGCCAATTTATTGGCCAAATAGCGCTTAGCACCGCCCCCAATGCGCACGTAGGTGAGCTATATAGCGCTATTTCCGCTATTTCCATCAGATTTCACTGATTTTCGAAGAAGCGCTATCAAGGTACGGAACGGCCGGCATCTCGTTCATCTCGTTCCCCTATTCAGGGAACCAAGGTTACATACGTAACCGAGATGTTCCGTCTCATAGGCTCACTTCGATGCTGCAATGACGTCATCGCTTTGGGAAAGCTATACCATAACGCCTGACGTACCGTAGATAGCTAGAAGACCAAGGAAAGCGTCTGCTCAAGCGGATAAGGCCCGGGAGCCAGGAGCCATCCCTACGTCCAGACTATAAAACTTGATGAATGTGCTAGGAGAGGACCATCCTGCCGCAGCACAAACATCTTCCGACGAAGACCCTTTAAAGAAGGCCTGAGAAGAAGCCACTGCTCTTGTAGAATGAGCACGCACCCCTAGAGGCGAAGTCAAGCCACGCGCCTCATAGGCCAAAGAGATAGCCTCCACTATCCAGTGTGACATCCGCTGTTTAGTGACAGCAGAACCTCTGCTCCTACCACCAAAACACACAAACAACTGGTCAGATCCACGCCACCGAACCGTGCGGTCGACATAGATCCTAAGTGCCCTAACTGGACAGAGATTCAGGCTAACTCACCCCTCTTCAACTGGGGAAAAAGCCTCCAAGACCACTTGTTGAAAACGAAACAGAGTCAAAGCAACCTTCGGAACATAATCAGGCCTAGGTCGCAAAAAGACTTTAATCAGCTCCGGGACAAAGTCCATACATGAAGGACTGACGGATAGAGCCTACAGATCCCCTACTCTCTTAAGGGAGGATAAAGCCACCAAAAGAACCATCTTGAGGGTCAAGAGCTTTTCTGACACAGACTCCATCGGTTCAAAGGGATGGCCTGTCAGTCTCCATTCCCCATCCTGCAGACTCTGTCTCGAGAGCAGGTCCGCTCCTGAGTTCAAGCGACCTGGGATATGGACTGCTCTGATCAACAGGAGCTTTGTCTGAGCCCAAAGAAGAACACGCCTCGCCAGCCTGTACAGGGGGCGAGAACGTAATCCTCCTTGACGATTGAGGTATGACACGACTGCTGTGCTGTCTGTCCTGACTAACACGTGATAACCCCTCAACTGCAGTGTTTTATCCTATTGGTGATTAATATAAAATAAACGCTAAAAAGAAGACTATTCTGTGAGTGCGGATCATGGTCTCATTCTATGAAAAATAATGTTTAATAAACACAATACTATGCATCACGCACCGTGGTTGAATCTGCCGGTGGGGGCGGGTCCACAAATCCACGAGTTTACAAACCCGAGGGAACGGATTGCGAAAGCGTGCGCACGGATTATGAATTTGTGGGTACGG